AGAAGGTAAATAGAAAGATCTTGGTTTCCATATCCAGTTGTAAACATCTAACTAGCCAAGATGAGCTTAATAGAACGGCACTAACTGACAGATTATTTCAATATAAGATAGCATAACATGAACTTTTGCATGATGAAAAATAAAATATATCCAAGAACACTAGTAATAATTCCATTGATTACTTTACATATTGACGTAATGACAAGTTTTGCGAAAGCTTTTTAAATGTTGACTGACCCATTATCAATTGGCACGCAACTGTCTATTAGGGATTAATGTCGCCGTGATCCTTTGGCACGACTGTCTTTACTTCTAGTCGGACCAAAAAAATCAGTTACTTTAAAATCAATTGATAGGGTTAATTAATTATGCCGTAGACAGGCGACAGCTCTCCGCGCGTGGGCGCATGTCTAGTTATAATTCAATCATATTATATATGTTATATATATATATATATATATATATATATATATATATGATAATACAACAATGCACTCAGAAATCAAATAAAACCAAAGAGAAGCACCATTTTCAAATTACTCAAGTGGATGATAAGCACATGATCGCGGTAGTTTAATGCCCCAGAGGCTTACATATTTGAAAATTGTATGAATTACTGTAACGTTAATTTTCGCTGTTGGTGGAAATACGGCTCGTTAACTGGACTTTGAATAAACATACTTGTTTGGCGAGTTGGTCGTGGTCAATATGTGAATCATCGATGTGCGTGGGTACAGGTACGATTCCTAGTTCCACACACTTTTTCTGGTGCGCTTTGGACTTCATGTGCTTCGTTAGATTGCCCTTGGTCTTGAAGGCAAACTCGCAGTGAGCGCAGAAGTAAGGCCGAAGATCGGTGTGTGTCCTAGTGCCAGGATACAAAAATGACAGAAACAGGTCGGGATAATCAACTGTTTAACCCAGAAGACGTCATAGATGCGTTCGTGTTGTAGAACGGCTTCATATCAATTAATAACAACACACGTACACCTGGCTGATGTTCGTAGTAAAGTTAACAACAAAAATTTACAAGGGCACCATCCAGTTTGTAGTTGAATCACGTAATGGAACACATTGGTATTTTTTTTTTTTTTTTCACGATTTGTGATAGCATCCACATTATACGGGCAGACACGAACACGAATATAGCGGACACGTCATTACCGATAGGAGGGCCGACGTTTTAGACGCAATATGAATATGGTATCAATATCTGGGTTCTCAACGGAGGTTTCTCTTTGAAAAATAAATGAGAGTGGTGTTGTTTGCCAGGAAATGGTCACAGCAGAAAATATATACGTGGCATTATTTTCTGTTCTATCTTACGTGAGGGATGGCGCGCCAAAGCGAGTACACAAACAGATCTTTCGCTCAGTCAAAGGTTTGAGTTTAAAGTGATGCGATTTACTGAACTTAACTGATCTGCCTGAACGCGAATTTTAGTGTCAATTTCTGACTGTGTTAGAATTTTTCATTTAAGCTGCCTATATTCTAGATAGTGTTTTAATTCGAAATCTCTGTTCATTAGCCTGGTTCGGCAAGCGAATGGCTGAATCGGGCATCAATTCGATAACAACGCATCACGAAATGCTCAACAAGTTACAGAAGCTCCAAAACGAAAACGATGCTGAATCTGCATCGCGGGTTCTCGTCTTGTTTATGTCAACAACAGCTTGGAAAGGGACGATTAGTGGAAAGGGCACCAGCATAAGCTAAGCGCGGCATATACAGACAAGATCATATATCGAACAAAAGCTCACCACGGATCAAGTGGAATCAGATAAATGGTTTAAGAATTCTACATTCTTACAACGGTTATATAGCAAGGGGGGCCTCAATGTTTTGAAAGGTACAATATTCCAGAGGTTGTATTCTCTCTGCAGAACCGGGATAACTACCTTCTAGATCAGACACAATCTTAACTTCTGCAGCTAAATGTACCATCGAACTCTGTTGACCTTGCCGAGGCACGAAATCTATGCATAGATTGGTAGATCGTTTCAAACACCGATTGTTTTGCGTTTTTTTTTCAGGTGGTTCAATTATTATGGGGTATACACAAAAAATCCCCAGATAAGCGTCAGGGACGTCTATCTAGTGATTTTATTGATACGATGTTTTGAGTTCATCCTTCGATAGGCGACGTTTATTCAGTATTCTGAAGCTTTGATCTCACACCAGATCCTCAACAGATCAACCTACTGCCTATTTCAACTGAATATAAACGCCGCGAATGTCAGTACGTACATACATTCGCAAACGGAATATTCGTCGTTGAGAAGTAGATCATATGTGAAATGCACTTTCACGTATCTTTTTTGTTGCTTACCGTATGTGCTTCTTTAACATTGAGGGTTTCTTGCAGCGAATGCCGCACTCTTCGCAAACGTATTTTCCTCTACCGCGGCCTCTCACATACGTGTAGTCCTCATTCGATTTGTAGCCTCCTTCACAAATTTTGACCCGTTTTGGCCTGGCGTATTCGTGGGCCATCGATCGTGGCCACTCCTCGTCCTGGCTAATCTCCTCTACAGCTGACTCATCCGTGACTATTGACGAAGAATCTAGCTCTGATCCTGGCTCCGTAACTGTCGATTGCTAAATGTTGATTGATAATGCAGGCCAAATTTATTAAGATCATGACAATTTTATACATGTCTTCTGTTTGATTCTTTCACCAGTTAAAGCTAGAACGCAGCCCTGTTAAACCTATCCCCGTGGCTATGATTATAAACTTACTTCTAAATTTAACCCTATACATAGAAATAAGCGATGTCTAATGACCTTTTTAAGTTACTCACACATTACTACGCCTTATGTGTTACATGGCTGCTTTAATTATACAATTTTTAAAAAGCGAACGTGTTCATCAGTCAGGGTCATCATTCCTGGCGTCCATGTTTCATCTAATGACGCACGTATGGCAAACCTCTCCCCGTTCTACCCTACTATTTTTCAGTTTACTGTGCAATTAGTATACATTGCTGACTCCGGATAAACTTTTATGAACTCAGGATTTTCAAAAGGTTGTTTTTCAGCGTCATCAGTCTTCACCACTGAAAGCAGCTCGATGTGTACGTTATATATGATACGGTATATAATAATCTGTTTGTAGATCCGTCGTACCCCATTAACCTGTCTGACGTACCGTTATCCATTCGACCACGTGCCATTGTCGTGACGGCTATTACTATTACCAGCGGCACCATAATCATCACCCCGAAACAACAGCTAGTAACGCCCAGTAACTTGCTCGTCGCTTCTATAACTATTCAAGTTACTACTGAACTAGTCTAGAGTACACGGATGATGGCTAGCTGCTACTTGTTGTCACTGTGGCGGTAATGAATCAGAGCAGCCAACGAACTCGTCGAATGTGACGGTACGCGCTGCTGCTAGTAATGGCTATTGTCGCTGTCGTCCACTAGTGGTGATGCTGATGAAGAGAATGAAGGAGAACAACGTAGAGAACGAAGAAGAAAGGGGAGGCTGGGTTCTACGTGAGTCTTAACCGATGCTAGCGATGCAGATAAGGATGATATTTTGTTTTACCTTTCTTGAGGGCGGCAAGCTGTCGAAATCGTCCTTGATCGAGGAGTAGTCCGAGGTGATGGAGTGCTTCTTGGTCGCCATTTTGGCGAGCCAGTACGACGAGTGCGTCATGTGCAGTGGCGCCGTGCTGGCCATGCCAGCGCTGGAGCGTTGACACGCTGCTGCAACTGCCTGGCAAGCGGCACTATCATTAGCATTGGTACTAGCAGCTTGTTGGTGCTGCTGCTGGAATAAGGAAGTGTGCATAAGGGGTGCATGCAATGCAGGTGCACGTGGGGCCAGCGTATAGATCGGCCGCAGTTGATCATGCCGCCACTGGCGGTGGTCCGTGCAGGCCAACAGTCCGATTGGTTCGACACCTGTAATTAATTACAATTGAAACCGATGCACCCATAAGCAACGAGAGTCGGAAGGCGTCATAGGGTGAATGAATCGTAAAAGTCCATAAAATATGGCTTTCCACATAGTTATATACTGACACTTATCAAGAGCGAGATGAACTTTAAATCGTATCCAATAACGTCAACTATTACGCGTTCGTTTCTTTCTGCTACTCTACGATACAGTGAATCCGTTTTGCGGTGCATCGATTGCCAGCAGCGTCCATTCACATTTTATAGGTAAAAACCTGTCTCATAATATTAATCGTCCACTGACGTCAGTAACATGCAAAATTAAATCAAAACAACAGCTATCTAAATGTATTCAACCAGACGGTCGTTCCCTTCCGCGTGCTTCTAGCGCACGTGCGCGTATACACACACATAAAAACGTTTGTTAGAATGATCCTGCATTTTGACGGTCATCTTAGCGATTCGTTATGATAAATAGTCTGTAGCGGCGACGGCGATTACGATGATCGTAAACGAGAAAACGTTTGGTTTGAATGACGTCAGAACGGTACACCACCATACCCGAATAGCGACGACGACGACGACATACGGTCTCTTTCTGTACGAGAAGCACCCCTAAGGCAATTGCATTAGCTGGCGTTGGCTGCTACGACTAAAAAATAACATCAAGTAGCCGTATCGCGTCGCTCGGTGCCGCCCAGGCGATGATGCTACTTTTTTCTTTCTTTTTTTGCATCTTTATCGTAAACACGTATATAAAATATGTACAAATCTTGTAGTGTACGACTTTTATAGAAGGAGTAAACGTCTAGCGCACGAGATTCGTTGATTTTGCATCATCAACTTTTTTACTTAAAGTAACAGTTGCGCACAAATGAAGGTGTATATCCGTAGAGTGAGATTTATTAGCGATTTTATGGGTATACTTTCACTGCAATGACCGATTTGGTACTACGAGCGAGTCGAGTGTGAAAATTCACTAGTTTGCTAGCGCGCGAGCAGTAACGAGGTCGACTATCAGACTCTGCGCCCGTCACATGCACGTGCAGACGATTACATGCTTCTTTACTTGCTTGTTTGTCTCTCTAGTCTTCTTATATTGTGCTAGATTGCTAGCGCTTAAGGCAACATAACGCCAATGGTGGCGCCTCCGTCTAGAAATTAGTTTGCTCACTTTGTTAGTCAAGTTACACCGCTGGCCACGGTGATGGGCTATTCTAACGCTTATTTACCTTTGATGCCCTACGTTGCTCTCTGTTGACTGGATTTGTTGATTTATTTTTGTGCGCGTGACGTCATAATCGCTTTCCCTCGATTTTTGGCCGTAACGCTCGGATTTTTTTCTACCTCCTTATTCTAGTGCACGTATAGTATACAGCTTTTCCTTTTAATTTGTTTTCGATAAATGCGTGTACATGTAGAGCTTGATGTGATTAGGCGTGGGGTCACTGATGGCATTTAGCTATCACAAGTTGGAAATCAAGTCTGAGGCGCGCCTTTTGCCGTTTACAATCAATAGCATTTGCACATCATATACCAACATCACTGTCGGCATCCGTCATCGTTTGTGGCTGTTATCGGACCGACCTCTCGGCGTCAGCGACGTTTTCGTTCACCGCATTTTTTGAAAGTGCGAAGTGAAAGCAGACATAATCCTGATCATCTATTTATCTATACCAGTGGAAACAAAGCCACAGATATACGCTGTATGAAGGGCGTGTCATCGTTGTCGTTGCGAAAAACAAACAGCACGACGACGACGACGACGACGGCGGCGGCGACGACGAAGAGCCGCTTAGCAAAGTGGTGCAACGCCGAAGGCAACCAGGGCTGGTGTTGACTCCAGCATTCACGGTCAAACGGACGGCGGGGAGGAGTGATTGGCTAGTCGGAAGAAGAACGAATGAACGCACGCGCACAATTGCTGGCGTTTGTACCCTTCCGATGATAGTGACGACGGGGGGCTGTTACAGTGCTGCTATAGCAGCTATTACGGCTGCTTCGGAAACTCTTTCGAGAATGTCTCTGAGAAAGCTAGACTGGCTGCCAGGATGAGACGACATTGTCGTTGGTTTAGGGCTCACAGTTTCCTGTTTCCTTCTTGAGGGCTTAAAGCCTAGCCACTTCCTCAGACAGTCAGTCAGTCAGTCAGTCAGTCAGTCAGTCAGTCAGTCAGTCAGCTAATTGACGACTGTTGCTTGATCATTCATTCGCTCTTCGGCTGATGCACCCCAACGTGCGATCATCTTGAGTACGATCCATGTAAAGTGTGTGCCCTGCTTTGTGTGTGTGTGTGTGTGTGTGTGAATATATACTGTTATACTGCTTCTTGTTTTTCACAGTCACCACCACGGCCATTCCTGTTGACCGTTTTTTATTATCGCTCTTTAATTTGTTTCGCTGCTGTTACTGTTGCTGTCGGCATCGGTCGACTAAGATTGAGATCAGCATCCGCAAGAAAAGAAAAAATAAGACAAGTCTTCCTTAGAAGGAGCGTCAGTTGACGTCACAAGATGCGGAGGGTTGCGTACGTTTTTGTACAATCGCTGCTGCAAATTCGCTAATTATAATCGCGTGATGATTTTTCTAGCCAGATGCACTTATTATTCTTGTATATTAAAGAAGTCAACAAAAAGGGAAAAGGTATGAACCTGTCGTTGCCATTACTCTTTGTTGCTGGCAACAACCATCAAGAAACGACAACAGATCTCTATAGGAATATACGATGCAAATCATACAGTGGACGTCACAGGAATTGGGAAAGCGGTCGGTAAGCCGTATTCTCGCGTGAAAAGAATTCACTAGAAAGGGAGATGCACAGTAATTATAATGATACAAATCGTTGTTATTATTATTGATAGTTAGTATATGAAGATATCTGTGCACGCGCGCCACATTTATGCGAATGATGACAAATAGTGCTCTAAGTATATACGTGAAGAGGCACTCGGCTTGAGCAGCTCCAAACGCACGTCATTGTATAAGACGTGGTGGTATTGAATGTATGTTTTATGAATGCATATAGACATATGTATATACATTGGCTTGTCAAGAGACCGTTTTTTAGTCGCGGGTCCTTTGCCCTAACTAATTTTTATATCTCTCGATTGACACTAAATTAACACGATTGCAGAAGAAACAGACGATACTCTAACGACGCAAGATCCAAACTGTTCGACGAATGCATCAAAATTAAATTCCGAAGCGATTAAGTTCCGTCTCAAAGATGTATGTGGCCTGGGATTGCCTCTTCTGTTCGATTTCCTCGATGATCCGTTGTACTCTACCTAGCTGATAATAGTAGAAAGGCTAATCAATCGCCTTGATAAGCGGCAGCAACTCGTCATGCACGATTCTTTTCGCCTGGCATCATCTAGTTTGACGTCGCTCTGGACTTCGTCACGAATTGTGAATCAGTAGTTTTTTAGTTACACATTACTGTTGTATGTGATCGACTCGTTATCAGCCGTCATCAATCCTCGTATAGCTTGATTTCATTGTGTCTCTGTAGAGTTCCGCAGATGGCAATACGATCGAGTAAATTGTTTTGCGTTCGCTCGTGTGCCAATAAAAACTGTCTGGTAGTAAGCGTTCAGTTCCTTGGCGAAGCCATGTCTACTTACGCATCGGCCTTATTCAGCCTTTACACCAACCTTCCTTGTAATTGGTCGAGCAGTACGAGGAGCATCATTCACATCGAAATTTCCATGACAAACGCATATTTTGATCCGTTTTCTCTCATTTTGACGTAAACGAGTCATTTCTTGGGGGCGTGGCCCAGCATATGTGCCTTCTTTGTAATGAAATTCTAGAATACAGTGAACGTTTTCAGAAATCTCTATAACTAATACTTAAACCTAAATCTAGACAAACCTGTTGAAGCCGTAGTGTTGTACTTTACACAGGCACATCCACTACGGCTAAATGTCAGCTTTTAAATCACACCAATGCCGAAACGATGCGACCCATATCGCCTGCGATTTCAAAGTCATCTAGCTAGAAAAACGGTCAATACTTTTCCGACAGTACAACGGATATGTTCGTCTCGTATGTCGTATGTCGTCTTCTTTCGTGTGGTCCCGTTTCATTGCCTACATCTTCGATGCATTTAGTAAGAAAGTAGCTCAACGAGCCTTCCCAATTGTTCGGGGCAAATGAGTTCGGAAGGCAGCTGCGATAGTTGTGTGTAATGGTGCTTTAATGCTGGAAAACATTGAGGTACGCAGCTTTTTTTTTCTAAGTGTATTAAACAGTGTATTATAAACCGATAGATAGATAAGTAATGCCGGGCAGTGAGTGACTACTACGTGTATTATCACGAGGTACGATATATGGGTCTAAGCTAATATGGATAGGCAAAGATAAAATATGATTAGTTATGAAAAGTTACCTTTTGTGTTCGTACCTACCTAATTTGAGCTCGTCCGTGAACGGACACATGACCCAATTGGAGTACATTGATAAGCGGGGATCCGTTTCCTGCAGCACAAACATAGGCTGAGGTCGGTAAATGCAGCAGTAAGTCGAGCGTGTGGACACCTTCAGGCCAAGGGTTGTGTAAGCATGACCATCGATGAACATCTGGCGGAACGCCTTTTGCGGTCTGGGTGTGTCCGGACTGATTAGGTTTGAGCCAATCAGGACGCTCGGCCGCGCGGGAAGCTCAAGACTCGTCGGACGTACAGGCTTAATTACAGCTGGTGCACACGAAAACGTGCATGGAGTAAACATCACCGACAGGTCTGAGCGGCGCGTCGTTGTAAACGTCGTGGTGACAATAGATCGGCTCACGGTGGGCGGCGTAGAGGTTAAAGTCGGGGATTCCTCTGATGCGGACGTGGCTGTTGCGCTTGTGGTTGTTATTGATGCTGTTGTTGGCAGCGTTGTAACCGAAACCAGGTCTGCTACTGGAGTGATGATCCTTGAGGACCCATCAGTTACTGCCGACGGCGCTGCCGAGCAAAACGAAAGAAGTAAGCACTAGACAGGCAACGACACTTGCATACTTGGTAATGACTCTTATCGAAACTCTAAGTACTAAAACGACGACTAATAATAGAGATATAAGTTGATGGCCTACCGTTATGGCAAAACGAGGGTTGCCTGTTACTTATGTGATTTGTGTGTACAGGTTTCGCAAGCTGCAACTGGAGAGAGCCTATAAACGTATCACATCGATTGCTCGACTGATAGATGGCTTACCGTTCCGCTTGGTGTCGCTAGTTTCGTGGGGTTCGGGACTAGCTGGAGTTGTAACGATAACAGGTACTGAGAATTGGGTTGAGCTCTGTGACGACCCTCCCACACTTGACGTTGATTTATCTAATAGCGGGAACGCAGCGGCTGGATCCGTCGAGTGTATATACGCAGGTTCTGAGAACTTGCGCTTTTTCAATGGTGTAACGTCCGACCTCTTAATCACCTGCCCAGTGATTAAGGTTATTAAGTTACTACTACGCAATATAATAATAAATCACTACATTGTACGCCGACCATTCTCAAGTTCAACCATATGCTGAAGCGATTACGAGACTGAGAATAAAAAAATATTACTGAGCTATGCGTATAGCAGAACCTGAAATCGATTTGATTGATTATAATCTATATTTGATAAAGTGCAATGCTTTTTGCGTGTAAGACATGCACTACAAACACTACTTTAAGTAACCTTTGCAGAGTCTTATCTAGCTATTTGTTATAAAATTAAAACCTAATCCTTATGCGTACATTTATACTAGAATAACAAAAGCTCTATTTTATTGAATCTTTCCTACCTAATCGGCTTGTCTTTTAGATTTGTTTTTATACCCGATGGAATTGTAGTAAATGATTGTTATCCGAGTCCCTTTTGATAAAAATAAGTCATGGAAGAGGTTGCATGCTTTCCTAGAAAACATCGCCAAGTACTAATTTGTGCTCTATCCTCAGTCATGTTAGGTTCCGCAGCTGTCGTAGTTCTTTGAGCTCCCTAAAAATGTCATAAACGAGACTGGCATAATATTGTTTTACTCGCAATTGTTTGTCTTGGCCTGACAAACTTGTTTGGATTCTCTGTCGCATTGTCTAGTTCGACATTACGGAAATCAACTACCCTAAGGAGACTTAACATCGCAACTATACGAGTCGAAGGTCCTCAGGTCAGCCGGTGCTTTGTGCACAGCCGTATATAGCGAATACCATGTTAATGTTGTTCAAATGTCCATATATCTTAACTATGCTCTTAAAGACGCGCTGAATTCGAATTGGGACAAGCGAAACCTGCGGATAATATCTAGCGTCCGATTTATTTGCATCTAGTAATATTTGAGACTTGTTTTTCAAAGCAATTAGTTCAGTGGTTTCATAAGTAAAAATAGATAATTACGCCTTACACACAGTTTACTCCCATAGGATGTGGGTTATTTACTAATAAAGACACTTGAATTCCTAATGAACACCAGTGAAAGAGATCCAATTGTATATCGGTGGACGCAGAACAAACTCCCTCAACATCTGAGTGTGCAATTGACAAAGGTTGGTGGTTCTGCATTGTGAATTTGTGGGGCATTCGAATTTATATCAAAAAGTCATTACGCATCCGAGAACTTATGTAAGAAGTCTAATAAAAATGCACATTTCAGTTCTGATAAATGGAGAAATTCGCTGAAAATGAACACAAATATGCATGAACGTACCGAAACGTGACGCTCTTCTATATGGTCTTCGGGCCATTCACTAACAGCCGATGCCGTCGAGGTGGTGTTGGTGGGGCATGCCTGAGAAGGCGCTGCACTCGCTGCAATGCCACCTGAGCAATTCGGATAAAGGTGTAGTAGTTCCTGAGTAGTGAAACTGGCACGACACGTCGGACACGGGAAGCTCTCAGACGTATCGGCTGTCGCCGGCGGCGGAAAGGGAACCCTAGACTTGAGTAGGAGATCTTTGATGATACTTCCGCTACTGCTGCCGTCGGGGTTCGATTCTCGCCATTCGCGCGGTTCTCGATGCTCTCGTGGCCACATGGGCACTTCGACGCTAGATATACGTCGTGGATTAGAGCTGCCACCTTTTGAGTAAGGAGTTCCGTATAGATAAAGTTAAAGAACAAAATATAATTTTATTTTCTTAGAACCTGTATCAAAAACAAAAATAAAATACACTCTACGCCCATTCTTACCTGCAAGAAGTGCCGTTTGGAATTTAGATCGACCCAAATCGAAGGAACTGAATCTTCGTGTAGAAGCTTTAGAATCCCTCGAGATCTTTCTGTAGAGTGGATCGGTCTCCACAATTGCAGCGTTCTGCGAGATAATCTTCGTGATGTGCTCCTCCAGGTCTTTGAGGCTGAGCTGCAAGCTTTTCCTGGGCGACATTCTTCTCGGTGACTCTCTTTCCTTGTCCTTCTCCTTCTGGCGTTCAATCAGTCCGTGGATTTCTGTGGCGATGGTGCCGTAGATTGTCGACGGCTTCGAGACATCTATTTCACTCAGATCCTCTCTTCTTTCACGAACGTCGCCTGGATCATATGGAGTTGAGGAAGAACTGACGACGGAGCATATAACGCTCCCGTCATTAGAGATCACTTTATTGTATTGTGAAAGGTCAATCGTTACCGAGAAGGTCGTCGCTGCTTCTGCGTTGCGTCCGTCCTGGGACCCTATAATGATTTATCCAATCGTATGTTTATCCATCCGTTTTTGTACTGCGTTCGCTTCAGTCGAATACGATGGTTTCAACATGAACATAGAATTCAAACTCTCCGTGACACCTACCTGATATAAACATTTTTCGCAATTTGATCGATACTTTAATCTAAGGTACTGAACGTGCTGCACCCTTTGGAAAACTACCACTATTATTATGGTCAGAGAAACTTGTTTCGGTCCTTTTCTAACGGCGTAAACATTCACAGTAGTCATTTTATTAACTGAGCTGAAAGCTGTATGTATAGCTTTTCAGGATATTCTCAGTTCATAGGGAAAATGTATATATGCAAAATCTATTTTGAATACAAATCATGCTAGATTATCTATGTATATAATTCAATATGGGCCAGATGCCTGAAGATACCGACCTACACTTAACCGGCGTTGATTGGGGTTTATGTTAAGGTGGTTGGTGTATCCGTTGTAATTGGCGAGGTTATTCTCTTGTATCACGAGTAGTGGATCGGTGTGCATCACGGACATCTTTCTGCGTCCCGCCGCCGCCGCCGTCGTCGAAAGTCCTTGACGTGACGATATACCCATGAGGGAGGCGGATGGCGAAAAGCCGTCTGTGGTGCCACCGTTCATAAAAAGCTGGGCACCTGCCTCTTGAAGGTCCGGCGAACCCAGTCGAGTCTGGGGTTGTAGATTAAATGTGACATGGTGTGTCGGAGCCATTGCTAACGCTGTGGTTAATTGTGGTGATTGATGTTGGTCTTGTTGTTGCTGTAATGTCGGAGGTGATGATTCGGCCTGTTGAACTTGTTGCGGCTGCTGAAGCGAGGTGGACATTCCCGTAGGAGGATCATTCTGATGTTGCAACCTTGTAAGGCCCTGACCCTGCTGTTCTTGCAGCTGCTGCTGCTGTTGATGTGCGTTGAGCTGAATCAATGGCTTGTAGTAACCGTTACTCGATCTATTGCTTTTAGTATTAATAGTGCAGTTGCTGTTGTTATTGTTGTTGTTGAAGGTGTTATTTAGGGGATGTACGTGCATCGAAAGGTCTGTGCCAGCGACCGTCACGAGCTTCAAGGGAGAGGCAGCCATTGCGCTCTAGCCGTCAATTGTGATTACATTGTCGCGCTGGAATAATACAAGTGACAGCCACTATAGAAAAACTACCGAGACAAGGTTGTAAATAGAATCAATCAGCTGTTCATTTGTGTGTGATATATTCAATGGCTCACTGTGTGTGCGATTCCTAAACACTCGATATCTTATATAGACTCTTCGCTAAATACACGCAGCACGTCGGTGATACGTGCGAATGATTCGTTATGAAGCAATATTTACAGTTTAGGTAAAAAAAGACAGAGCAATTTTACAGAGCCTGCACCGCGCTATGGCAAAAGCGAACCTCGTCGTCGACCTTAACAGATCAATGGATCGTCTAAATTATCAGTCGCAATATAAAGATTTATCATTAGAAAAGTATCCTACATGGATATATCCATTGTCAGTAGCTTCATTTTTATGCATCGGACTCGCATATTGAATATAATATTTTAACGCATATCTATTTTCGGCTACCCTGCAAGCACTACATCGCTAGACTACTTCACTTAGTCTGAGAAATCCATAGAGTTAAGCAGCAGGTGGTCGTCTCAAACACGAGTTTCTCAACAGTAAAGCTGAAGCATGAGACGCGTGCAAAGGTTGTTGTGCGAGTGGCCTGTCAAGTCTGCCAGCTCAGTGCACCGCTCGACCGTGTACAATACCGCATAGCTTGTCGGCGTCAGCTTCTTTTACATTTTAGTAGCTGGTTTCGTGCTCGCCAGCAACGAGTTATGGGGCGCCTTACATCCAAATATTCATGCCTTACTTCGACTCCATGGCTTTCCTGTCTCCCCATTTCCCGCCTCCCATTTTTAAGTTTGTTCACGCTCTTTCCATCTCTTACCCCAAGTTCTCTCTCTTCATCTTTCTCTCAGGGTTCCAGTTCAGCACGGATTTGATCTTCGGCTTTCTCCTCATCTGCCTTGCCCCATAATGCCTTAAATTTTCCCAGTTCCTATTCCGATTTCCATCATCCTTTGAGTTCCCTCATTTTGCTTCCGAATATACACCCCCATAGTCCTTGCCTCTCGTTCGCCGGATCCCTGAATCGTTCCTTCTCTTCCCTTTCGCTTTCTCCGTCCCGGTCCCACTTCCTTCGTCTAACGCCAGCGGCCTGTCGTCACCGCCGTTCGGCACTCTTAGTCTCTGCCGGTATACGCTGTGCAGCACCGGCTACAGTCGGGCGCACGCAACGAGCAGTTAGCGCGGCAGTGCGGTGGAAGTGGAAGTGGAGGCAGGATCAGTCTGCAGCGCGTGGCAGGGCACCGTCTTGCTTCGGATCTCATCGGTTGTGGCCAGTACCAACGATATGGGTATTACTGCTCACATCCGCTTACGGTTAGTCCCTTTTCCTGATAGTCTCAGCATAGCTCTTTTTCAATGTCGTTTGCGGTGTGCTCTGCCCCCAACTAGTCGTAGCTCCCTCAAGCACTACAGTCCGAGAGTTTCAGTAATATTGAGAAATGGTAGAAACGTAGGGAAGGCACGATGGAGACGAGAAACGGTGATCTCACTTTCCCGGGATTCGATGGAAAAACTAGTGCTCTACGGCGGCATGGAAGCGACTGTATCCCCAACTTTGTATCGTTCCCTCATTCATTTCCCTCGGATTTTTCCCTTTCCCGCTTCAGCTAAACTAAAAATATCCTTCGGCCCGGCGATATTCCCCTCCCAGCAACACTACAAGCTCGCCAATGCCTTCCTAGCCAGGGATTCGAAGAGCTGAGTGCCAAGAGCAATGTAAGCTCCCACCCGTCCCGTCGTTCCTCAGCCCTGACATCTCCTTGCCTGGTATGGCTGCCGCCCTCCACTCGTGTGCTTTCGTGCCTGTTCGGTTTACCCACTCTGCCGTTGTCTGCCTAGGTACCCAGCAAGGGCCTCCACTGCTCTGTATTGGCTGGTCCAAAAGCTGACTCTGAGTGGGCTTTCCACAAGCGGGCGTCTCCCGGCATAACCTTCTATAGTGAGCTCGACCCCTTCATCCGCTATCTATATCCCGTTCCTACGCCATCCACAGTCAGGACCTGACTTCAGCGTGTGCCTGCCGCAGAAGGTTGTGTTCCCGTCTTTCAGCGCTGCTTCCCAGCGTCTCCCTCGCGCTCGCCAAACGTTCGGCGCTATTGCCGCAAATGGGTCTTAGCTTATGTGTTCCAATTGAAGAAATCGTATTGTATGGATAACTACGGCATTGAGTCGTAAATATGGTATAACCTGATTCTGTTCATTACAATTTGTATAGTTCACGCCGTCTGAGAGTGTTCTTTAATAGATATCGAGTTGTTGTGAGATTCTAGGGGATCTCAGCGCCGAACGCCAACAATGTAAGCCCTTAGGGGAGAGTAAACAAGAAAGGGGACATGGAGATACAAGGGACAACTAAGGAGCGTCCCTGCAGGATAGTTCGCAAGAGCAGACCGCACAAGGACCAGGATTCGAAAAGAAACAGATCCCTCTGTGATACCCAGGCGGTCCTCCATGAATTTCTTCTCAGCCAAGAGGCTCCTGGTACTTTAGAAAGCCTGATTGTGTGATTGAGCATAGTCCCGTGAAACAACCTGCCCATACACAGTGAGACTGTATAACCACAAGACCACTTATAGCGATTTGTCGTGTTCTTTTTGCACTAACAACACAGTATTTGACAAACGTGGGGCTAACAATCCGATGTAAATATACGCTCTTAAAATACAACCAAATTATACAATAACAGACGAATGTCGAAGCTAGTAAAAAGTGCCTCTAAATCACACGTATGCGTACGTTAGGGTAAAGACTTGCATTTGAAAGTAAGTTTTTCAAAGAAAGATAAAGAAAAGTCTACAATAAATAGCGATAATAAATCCGAAGGTAAATTGAGGCATTCGTCTAAGATTTTTCCCTTATGATTCAAGGCATACACTAGAAAAATGATTTCTCAATTATTATCGATCTGATTATCATTGTTGGACACATAACGATGTCATTATTGGCTGAAGAGTATCAAAAGAACAGATTATCTAAAAAAATTGTACGGGCAGTTAGTAGAACCACTACTAATCAGCTATAATTAATACGCTAGAGTGCATTTTTGATACAACATTTACTGGATTATAGCGCTCTGCTGCCATATGACACAAAATATTGCATCATGCGCGCCTGAATCAGCAAATATCTACTAATAGAGGACCGCGATTGTCTACATAGCACAAAACACGACGATTAGGCCCTATCGTGTTGTTCCTATATTCCCATCAAACGAATCTATTCATTGTCTATTCTTGCAAAAGGGTCACATACGCCGTAACCGGTGTTTTGTTTAGCTTAACAGGCGCTTTTTCAATAAAAATTAGCGAGTATTTCACAGTACATTTATAGAGACATTAAAGATTCTCGCTTTAATGAACCTTCGTAAATTTTAAACCGAAGGTGAGGGTTCGACCTCATTGTGTCTATACTGGATAACATGGCTAGGATGATAAAAGCTTCTGTGACTATGAGCGTGTCCTATCTCCTTTTCCATATGAGTTGTTAAGAAACAAAAACATCACACAAAGAAAAGGTCGATCGTTGTATGAATCGGATCGAGTTCTCCATTCAGCCTTTTCTGTTAAACCGATACGTATGTGTATGTATTAATAACTCTGATGATAGCTATAAGCTAATATTATTAAGATCCACTATAAAAGTTGAGACGCACTAAACGCAGAGGACAATATCCTATACAAAATATAATCCTATATAAAAAAAAGTGAAAGAAATGATTTGTGTTGGTACATTCGTATTTTTAATTTTGACTCGTAACTCGGTGTTTACTACTGTGGCATATTGAGCTATATTTAAAAGCTCAGAAAAAGACTGAGTAAATTGTGATCTGATTAAATCTCAATTAATCAAAAATTTCATTTGATGAAAAAAAATAAAGCTTTTAACTGGTATATGGTGTAGTGATCTGAAAACCATCAAAGGCCAAACCAAATAATAATATTCTGTAATGACATGATGATTTTTCTTGTGATGTTAACCATCCATAAGCCGATTGCGACACATGCCTTCTCAGTAACTTTGACTGATGGGAACCTTATTCCATGTACAACCTTGACCAATTTTTGATACTTCGACCTACTCTGCGGCTTTATAAAGAGCCTCGATTGCGAGAAGTTCTTCTCCCAAAAAAATCTGCTTGCGGTTGAGCGTGCCCTTTCAGTTCTCTCTGAACTAAGAGGACACGAACGTTAAGACCAGCGTCTTAGCGTCCTGTGTTCATTTAAATTCGCCCCTTCTCTCAGCCAAGTTGCAGTTGATTGACCGGTGATCTGTACAGTTCCAAAAGTGCCGCTACAAGCCAAGCTGATTCCATGATAGTCAATCCAGTTCAAGCTATCAATCAGTGAATCGACGGAGGGTCGGCCACACCGACAGCGCCAAACAATGCCAGAGGTCTATCTCTTTGCAACAACACTCGAATAGCGACACAACCAGTACTAGCCGGAACCGCTGTTAAAATGAGCCACTTTACCGAAAAATGGCAATCACGAATCGCATAGTTGATGCTCCTCGTAGGTGCTACTGTTATAAGGCCACGGTCACCTCCATCTCTACGAAAGTGTGCCTGTAAGCCTACAATACGTTGGCAATCGGCGCAGCTTCCACCTACCGTCGTAACGGATCAAACACAGCTTTGATTGAGGGTGAGCCGAGCTAAAACTGCCGCGGCACTTGTTCGTTGTTGTTTTAGCAGCGTCAGTGGTATCGCTGTGACGCACTCACTAGCCGGCAAGATAATGCGTCCAGCCGCTAGCGAAATTGTCGTTAGGCGGACGACAGGCGCACAGGTAGATAAGCGGGCAGGCGAACAGCCGGTCACCGATGGTAAGGACAGCAAAACGGCCAATAGTGGCGAGGTTAAACATGAGCTAGGCCATGTGTATCATGGAAACAGCCGGACCACAAAACGTGATTTTTATTTGCATAGAACTAATCAACAATATGTAGAGATCAGCACAACATGTGTGCCTTAAACGAGTCACCCGGCAACGTAACCTAGCTAC